CTGGTGTCACCGTCCCGGCGTCACTCTCCCAGCGCAGAGCAGCAGGTCTTAGGTGAGGGGGGGTCCAGGGTGGTGGGTTTGGGGTACTCTGGAGTGCAATCATCACCCCTAAACCTTCCCCTGCTCTGTGGTCTCCTGCAATAACCCCTGGAATCCAGTTCCCTGCTCCCCAGGGGTGCTGAGGCAAGGGAGGAGGTGCTTGCTCTGGGTGATGCTGGTGCGCTGTTGGCACCCCTGCCCTTGCTGGGGCTCTGAGTGTGCTCCTGTCCCCGCAGTTGGGACCCCTGTCCCCAGCAGTGGGTGCAGTGATGGCCGCGGTGCCCTCTGGTGCTATCACTGCTGCTCCTTGGGCAGGAATGACGCCTGGTGACCAGGCTGCCCTGGCCATTGTCACCTGCCCGGTCTTTGCCTAGCTCCTCCCTGCCTCAGCAGCAAACTCTCCCACTAAAACAAATGATTGGAAGGATGACTGGGAAAGGCATGGGGAAAGGCTTGCCACGGAAGCATGAACAGCAAACATTCATGAAAAGGTGGAGTGGAGAGAGCAATTCCTCCTTTTTTGGGCTGGTGAGGCATTAGATGAGTCCCATCATGTCCATATACATGGGATTTGTAGATTTGCCCATCACCATAGCACGCAGCTTTCCCTGGAAGGTTGGACAGATGCTGGCAAGATGGGAGTGTGCCACATCTGCAGGGAGCTTGGGCAAGTCTGCTGCTGCTCCTCACTGACAAGGACAGGGTGCAGCACCTATTCTTCCACCAACAATAGAGATTCCTAGCAGGCACACCAAGCTTGGCCTGAACCTTCTTTCATTTCCTTAATATTTTGGCTTTGCAGAGTGGAAATGGCTCCTGTGCCAGCCACCCTGATTGCTGTTGTTTACCTACCAAGGTGCTTTTGCAGCATTACTGCAGCAGTGAAGAGAGTTTGTAGAATCCTAAACCGAATTAAAAAAATCCAAGTGCAACGCTATTAACCCAGCCCATTTTTTTCATCCTGCAGTAACAGTGCAGAGGTAAAAAGATACCATTTATTCAAGAGAGATGGTAATGGTGAAACTATTTCATCTCATTAACTTTTGCTGGAGTTTCCCTATACCCCGGGGATTACAAAACACGTGTGCTTTTACTGAGCACATACACATGTGACTTTGCAGAATTGCTCAATCCTGTCACCTCTGCATGTAGGGATGAGCCAATTTTGAAATTTTCCCAATGTAGTATACTCCCTTCCCCTTGCCAACACCCCCACCCCCTCACAAAAAGAAAAAAAAAAAGCTAGTCAAGACTTTTAAGTCTGCTTTCAGACCAGCTGCTGCTTCATTGCATTAAGTGAAAGGGGAAGCACAGAGTCATTTGGTACTTCTTCAGGGCAATAAATCTTCTTTTCCACCCTGGCCCTGAATTTCTAAGGTGCTGGCTGGCTTTGAGGTTTCCTAGATATCAAAGTGCTATGCACACTGCAACCCCCAGCCAGCCAGAACAATGGTGAAGAGACCCATGTGTGGAAAACATTAGTATGCATTGCCTAACTTCTGCATGAGGGCCTTAGCCTTGAAAAGCTCCAAGACTGGAGGTTGCATCACTGTCTGCAGCACTTCTGTTAGTAATGTTAGATGGTTGAAATACAGGCACTTAACACCATCTACTTTCTTCTGCTCCACTTCTCTCTCATGTGCTGGATTTTGTACTTTAATCCTCTCAAAATGCTTATCTTCTCTGAGTAATCTGAGTATCATTTTTAGAGCTGGCCATGGAAACAAGACAATTTTAACTCTTTGGTTTCTCTAGCAATTGCTCTCATTTGCTGTGCAGAAATTTGATACTAAGGGGTTGGAAACAAAAAACAAGTTCCCATCTATGCTTTTATCCAGGGAATGGTCACAGCACCAAGCCTGAGGGAGTTCAAGAAGCATTTGAACAGTGTTCTCAGGCACATGGTGTGATTCTTGGGGCTGTCCTGTGCAGGGGCAGGAGTTGGACCTCAATGATCCTTGTGGGTCTCTTCCAGCTCAGGATATTCTATGGTTTTATGATCTCCTCTAGCTCATATGAACATGTTCAATAGTTGCTGGAAAATCTATTAGTTTCTTATAGGACTTCATAAAATAAGCTAAATTAGGCTAAAAAAAAAATCTTACTCTGGGTAGAAAGGTCTGTGGAGAGACTGTAGTGAAATTACTGTCTGTAAGGCCAAATTGTGGTTGAAACATGCTGGTATAATAGTCCTGGATTCTGAGGGTTTAGAAAAATCCATGTTTAATATTATGTACAATAGTTAAAAATCATTGAAATGCACCTTTAGATTCCTATATTTTCAGGTTATTAAACACTTGCCTAGATCTCCAGAATCAAGGGCCACAGAACCAACACAGGTAACATACCAACTTTTGGAAACTCCCACAGACAGCACAACTTTTGAAAACCTCTGCAAACAAACCACAAGATTCACTTTTTGTTCCTGTTGACAGTTTATATACATATCTACTATGTAACAATTTTGTTTTGCCACCTGGGACCCTAAAGGGAGGAAAAGAAAATATTTTGTTTTAAAGTAGAAAGTATTTTTAGCAATCAGACATGATATTTCTTATCTCTAGCATACAGTCTTCCTAAGAACCTGGCTCTGTAATAACATTGTACTATATCCTGGCAATAGAAATACCATCTCAACCATTAAATTCTCAGAGCATAACAAAGCAATGAATAAGTACAGAATACATGCCTTGTTGTATTTTATTACTTCCCCCTTTTGAAAAGTCCACTTCAGAGTGTAACTTACTTAAGCTCCTTCTGCCTGATAACCAATCCTGCTGGAGCAGCCCAGGCACAGACAAGAGGAGCAGCAAGGAAAAGCAGCAAACAGGTGTAGCATATTGCACCTTGCAACTCAGAGCACAATGTACCTCTGAAGACTCTGCTAGGTAAGAGTTTTTTGCTGCATGGCATTTGTTCCCCAAATTGTGTTGGATCAAGTGTATCACTAGTTTAGTTGTCATTTTGGCTCCAGGTGGTTAAAGAACTGCTTCCAGGCATGGTGTTTATATTAAAGGAACAGCTTTCCAAGTGAGAGCCATCCCAGATGATGTAGGTTTTGCTCTTTAGCACCTTTAGGACCCAGAAGAGGCCCAGCCCCATGTTTAGACGCCTGAACCGAGCCCACAACATGACCAGGTTGGCAGTGATGTGTCTGTCACAGGTAGTAGCAATGGACTCACTGTCCATTGTTGTCTGGGAGCAGCTGGAAGCTACTGGTGACCTATTAGAACAAATTGCATGTTATTATTGGTATTATCATCAACCAAAGCAAGGATTTGTTGACTTCTTTCAGCATAAGAAATACCAGCACTTTTAGCATCTCACTGTGAAGAAGGATGACACTTCCAAGTCAGCCCTGTGGCCTCTTATTCCTTGGCCTGACTCTGGCATTGCTAGTTCATGGAAAAAATGCAAGGGATTTGTTTGAGTCTCAGGGCTGGCATCCAGAGGACTAGCTCCTTTGACAGGAGGGAGGATTGCTGTTTTCCTCCTAACAGGAGAATAGAATTCCCTCAGTGGGACACTAACAGGGTAGAAGGCAGAAAGGGAAAAATGAATCACCAAACATATTTTTAAATCTTTTTTTTTTCAGAGCTCAGACAAAACACAGGTTATAAAGGCACTACCTGTGCAACAGCAAAGTCTCACTTCTGCTAAGAGGGCTAGTAAGGAGCCATCAAACACAACACAGAGGTGCAGAACTCCCATCTGGAAGGGAAAATTCCCAGACTATCTAGCCATTGACTCCGCCATGGCCATGAAAACAACCAGCTCAAAGAAATACCTCCAGCTACTTATTTTTCAGGTTGCTCTTCTAGGGCCTGTCTTCTGTGGGAAGATACTGGTTTGGCCAACAGAAGGCAGCCACTGGATGAACATGAATGTAATGGTACAGGAGCTCATCCGCCGTGGGCACAGCTTTACCATCCTGGTACCCAACACTACTCTCTTCATTGAACCCAGGCCTAAGACTACGGAGAAGTTTGAGATCTATAATGTGCCCTTTGACAAAGATTTACCTGAGACCTTGCTTAACGACATAGTGGATCTATGGCTCAACAACAGGCCAACCATCTTGACCTTCTGGCAGTTTTACAAGGAGTTGGGAAGACTGTCTGTAGGCTGGCAGAAGATGAACAAGATGATGTGTGATGCGGTGCTGACCAACCAAGAGCTGATGGCTCGTCTGCAGGGGTCTGGCTTTGACCTGCTGCTGTCAGATGCTGTGACCCCCTGTGGGGAACTCCTGGCTCTCAAGCTGGACATTCCCTTTGTCTACTCACTACGTTTCTCCCCAGCCTTCACTCTGGAAAGGCATTGTGGCAAGATCCCAGCCCCACCATCCTACACGCCTGCAGCCCTGTCTGAGCTCACTGACCACATGTCTTTTGGGGAGAGAGTAAAAAACTTTGTGTCTTACCACCTGCAAGATTACGTTTTCCAGAGCTACTGGGGACATTGGGATAACTACTACAGCAAGGTCTTAGGTAAGCCTTCTGATACTTCACTTCTTGTTATACAGTCTGTCCTTATGACCTGCAGAACTAGGAACCCACCAGGGTCGCAAAGTCAAGAGAGAGGTCAGCAAGAGTTTGTGATTATGTCCCTAAAAAGGCGCTGACCCACAAGCAGTCAGGGTGCTGTGCTGCCATGCCAGTGCATAGAGACAGGATCAGGGTCATCCCAATTGATGCATTTGACTTTTGTCATAATTGTAGTGTGGAGTTTGATACGACTTCTACACCATACAGGGTGCTCAGCAAGGGTGACTACTTGTACAGAAAGCAGCCAAGAACAGAGGCATTTTCCTCATCCAGAGGACCATAACAAGGAGGGGAGAGCTAGTGAATTACAAGCCAGCCTTGCTACCCTCAGTAGCAATATTTTAAGTGCATTATGGCTTTGTAATAGAGACTTTACTTATGTCACTGGTCATATAAAACCAATTCTCTCAGCACAAAACAAGTTTTATTTAGAACATACCCTCCTACCCACAAAGCAAACTGAAAACAACAAACCTGTCTCTGCAGGCTTTTCTTCTGGACTGTTTTGAGTGATCAAGTAGAAAAATATGTTTATTATTAATCACATATCATTTCTACTAGTTTCCCATTGAGCTCTTCAAAAAGACCTCTTGCAAATCTCTCAGGGTTCAATTGCCTGCAAATACCTGGATGATGCAAGACTCCGCACATACACCAAGCTGGTGTCATGTGTACAGTAGTACATGAGGTATCTCAGTTTTTCTCCTCACAGCCCAGCTGTTTCCATGACCCACATTTTTTGTCCCAGAAAGGGTGTCTAGGCAGCATGGAAACCATACCAAAAGCCTTGGATGACAACATTAGGAAACCATTGTGCAACAGCACTA